TTCAAGAGTATCGCGGGAAAAATCCCTCGCCGTTGCGGAGCAATCCGATGAAGCCGATCCATCTTGTGGGAGAACCATCTCGAACTCGTAGAAGCCTTGGAGCGGGTTCAGAGGCGGGCAGCGTAGAAGTTTCAGGGGGTGGAACAGTCGCTTCCTTTGTCCAGAAAGGTAAGTCGACCGGTAGACGCCGTGGAGGTTCTCGGTCTAGGAGTCAAGTTGACCCTAACGCTCCATGGGAGAAAGCGCGTCTCACAGAGGACGTGTGGAGAGACCGGTGTATCCGGCATACCTGTATTCGTTTTGGTCAATATGGCCATAACCAATTCAAGTGCTGCAACAAGAAGGTGATCGAGAAGATCCCGCCTACGATGGGGCAGGCGTTGGGTCCTCCGCTCCCGTAGGTAGCAATGTGGCCGGCAGTTCTGGCACTGCTCCGGGAAACACGTCGGGCCAGTAGGAATAGTAGTTGTTCCTGCTAGGGTCGAGGTGGTGGACACACGCTCACCATCTCGAGAGATGGCCCAGGCTAATGACTTCATCGTCGTCCCGCAAACACATTCGGACCCAGCGACCCTCTGTTCGCTGAATGTGTTTGAGTCCTTAGGGGAGCTATGGAGTGGTCTAGATCGAACCCGCTAGCTTCTTGGACGACCATGACCAAAGCCCCTAAGGGTGAGTTGTTCGTCGGCGAGGTAGTCATCGGCGGCTGTAAGGCCGGGGCCTATTATGACACTTGCTCGACATGGAACTTCATTAGTCGCGCGTGCATTGAGAGGCCGCGTTTACAGGGGCAAGTGCAACGCCTGAGTCGACCTGTGGAGTCGACCTGTGCCAACAAACAGCGTTTGGTAGTCAATGACTACCTAAGGCATTGAGTGTCTTTTCCCGTACACGAGAGGGGAACTGAGACATTGAGTCTCGTTCCCAGTTAGCGATGATCTCCCTATGGATATCTTATTAGGTATGTACTACTGCTCGGTTGCACAGCCCCAGTTCGACTGGGACCGAAAAGTGTCAAACACACTTTGACCGGAGGGAAGACCGCTTGATTACGTAAGTTTAAAGCTAATAGTCTGATCGAGTCCTACATATGCATGTGTGCGGCCACGTTTTATAATTATTATAAGCAAAATCCGGAGGAGGGTATGTACTTAGTTTATGTCTCTGCAGCAGGCGAGTCGGAGAAAATGCGGTTGGAGATAGAGGGAGTGGTCGCTAAGTACCCTGATCTATTTGAAGAGCCGAAAGGGGTTGTCGAGAGGGAGGTCGTCCACGCGATAGAGATTATCCCAGGGTTTAGCATTCGGAAGGGTAGGCTCTATCGGATGTCTCCAGGCGAGCTCGATGAGCTCCGCCGGCAGCTCAAGGAACTTGTAGAGAAGGGTTGGATCCGGCCTAGTGTCTCCCCTTACGGGTCTCGTCTCTTGTTTGTACCGAAGAAGGGGGGAACGTTGAGGATGTGCATTGACTATAGGGGCCTCGATGCCATCACTGTCAAGAATAGAGAGCCCCTACCACGCATCGATGACTTGTTGGACCGAGCGCAAGGGTGCCGGTACTTCAGTAAGATAGATCTGAAGTCGGGGTACCATCAGATTGCAATACAGCCCGAGGATCAACACAAAACCGCTTTTCAGACCAAGGTACGGTCTGTATGAGTTTGTGGTGATGCCTTTCGGCCTATGCAATGCTTCTGGCACCTTTCAGCACGCCATGAATCAGATCTTTCATGACTACTTGGACAAGTTTGTCATCGTGTACCTCGATGACGTACTTATCTTTAGTAGGACTGTCGAAGAGTATGTCGGTCATTTAGATAGAGTCCTTAGTCTCCTTCAACAACACAAGTTCAAGATCAACGGGGAGAAGTGCAAGTTTGGCCGCACCCGGATTTTGTACTTGGGTCATGAGATTTCCGCGGAGGGATTGAAGCCCGATAACGCGAAGGTGGCCAACATTCGTGACTGGCCACGTCCTCAGTCTGTGACTGAGATGAGGTCCTTCTTAGGGATGACAGGCTACTACCGCAATTTCATAAAAAAATACAGCATAGTGACCGCCCCTTTGACGAACCTGACACGTCTTGACACCCCATGGGAGTGGACACACAAGTGTGAGGCTGCCTTCAGACATCTGAAGCATGCTCTGACACACTATGAGGTCTTGAAACTTCCCGATCCGGAAAAGCCGTTTATAGTAACCACGGATGCTAGCCAATATGGCATAGGCGCCGTGCTCGCGCAGCAGGAGGGGCCTAAGTTGAGGCCTGTCGAGTGCATGTCCAAAAAGATGCCCTCTCAAAAGTTGGCTTAAGTCCACCTATAAGAAGGAGCTCTATGCGATCTATAAAGTGCTAACCCATTGGATGCACTACCTCCTTGGGAGGTTCTTCTACGGCAGGACTGATCATCAGACCCTGAAGTGGATGAGCCAACCCGTTCTCTCGGATGCATTGAAACGATGGATCGAAGTCATTGAGCAGTACAACTTCGACCCCCAGTACATCAAAGGAGAGTACAATAGAGTTGCTGATGCGTTGTCGCGTAGACCAGACTTCCTTGGTGCGCTGATCACTGAGTTTGAGCTTGCGGATGATGTTACTTGTTCTTTGGTGGAAGCCTATCGCGAGGATCCGTTTATGGCTGAGATCATACGCAGACTCGAGGCGGAGGGCAAAGCGACTTCTGCGGAGTTTGAGCTGGTGAATGGCCTGCTGTTCCTTGAGAAGGCCGGGAATAAACGTTTGTGTGTGCCTAATCGAGAGTCTTTGCGTAGTTTATTTTTAGGAGAGTGTCATGATGCCACAGGACATTTTGGGTACAAGAAGACTGCAGCCAATCTGCTGCAGCAGTTCTGGTGGCCCACAATGATGAGAGATGCCAAGCTGTATGTAGAGACTTGTCAAGTATGTGAGAGGGACGAGCCATGTACACAGGCCCCTCTTGGGCTTCTTAAGCCCTTCCGATTCCGAAAAGCCCGGTGAGAGCCTGTCCATGGACTTCCATGGACACTGTTACATGCTGAAAGCCTACACACGGGCCCCTCACGGGACCCGAGGTTGGAATAGGGCCCCCAGGTCGCGTCACCGCAACCTGAAGGCCCTATGGCATTTTTACTTGGGCCTGCATCAGAAAAACGCCAGCTTTAGATTATTTTTATAGTCTTTATTTTATTTATTTGCTGCTGTTTTTCTAACGGGTGTACTGTTGTCGGTTTTGTGGCCAGGTACACGCTTCTAGGGCCAGGGCCAGATTCAGGCCCAGAGGCTGAGCTCCTAAAAACGTTTGGACCTTTTCTTTTGTTTTCGAACAGATTTTGACCTGTTCGAACCCAGGCCGACGTTGAGGCCGGGTACGTCCGCACAGGACCGGTTTGAAGCCAGGTACCAGGAAGATTAATCCTGGACAKGGCYTGGACGTCCGGTAGGGACCCAGGCAGGCCGTTTTAGGCCAAGGACTGAACCAGTTTTCGAAGCCTGCGATCTGGRCCGTGGATCGGAGTTTCGATCTGCAAGGTCCAGAACGCAGGCCGTGGGTTTTCAGTCCTGGCCCAGCACTACTTAAGCTGGGCCATTGCCCAGTTCGGACACAGAAGGTACC